CTGGCTTGGCAGGGGGGGGGGGTGGGGGGCTTCACAGCACCGGAGCTGAACCCAGAGGCCCCTGAAGTATCATTTTTATATGTGACTAGATTTTATTTAGTAATATTGATATAGAGTTGCAATATTGGTATAGAATTTTGTTTTGTCTTTTTTTCCTCAAATATTTGGCAGATTTTATCACTCAAGCTATAGGCTTGGAGTTTTCTCTGTCTCTGTGGGAAAATTTTTTTGGTTTTTGGGGGGTTTCTTTTGAAAATCTTACATTTTATCAATGAAAGTTGTTAACTACAAATTCAATGTGTTTAATAGATATAGGGTCATTTAGGTTATCTATTTCTTCTTGAGTGAGCTTTGGTACCTTGTATCTTTCAAGGAATTTGTTCATTTCATTTAAGTTTTCAAATTTATGGGTATAAAGTTGTTTGCACCTTACCTTGAAAAGCAACAAGAATTTAGGATAAATTCATGGATAGATAGAGGAGTAAATATCTAGTAAAACATTAGTTGTAAAATCTAGAAGGTAGGTGTAGAGCGTTCATTGTAAACTTGTCTCAACTGTTTTGTATGTTTGAAAATATTCATAATGCTGAAATAAGAGCAGAAGAAATCAGAATAATGGTTTAATGACACTGGACCTGGAATCAGACTGCTTGGCTTCTAATCCCACGCCCCCCCTCCCCCTATGTACAGTCCCTACACTTTCCCATCTAAAAATGTAGGGCTAAGAACAGCACCTGATTCATAAGTTCATAGTGAGAATTAAATGTTGTAACACATGTAAGACATTTTAGAACAGTGGCTGCCAGATGTTGATCATCTTACAAATGAGTTACTGTCTCATAAAATAAAGGCAGATTTTGGGTGAGCTTAAGAAACTTTTGCTGAAAGAAGGACTTGCAAGGAGACAGTAGAGAAAGAGGACTGAGGCTGAGAGGAAAGTGAGAGGATGACTTCAGAGGTGTCAGCCCAGGACAAGCAACTCTGTAAGTGAAGGACGTTTAATTTAGGGGTTGCAGCAATTGGCAGCAGCAATGCAGCTGAGCCCGTGCCTCTACCATGCCTCTCCTTTTGTACTCTGAAAGAGGGACACATTGGGTTAAGATAAGAGAAGTTGAGTAACTTGCCTGGGGCCACCTGGCTAGTGAAAGGCAGGTATGGGATTTGAAGCTATGTCATTTAGCTTCAGAAGCCAAGTTCATAATTGTACTACACTACCTCCTCATAAGTTGATCACAAAGCCTAGACCCTCTCCCATGTGGCCAGATACTTTCTAGTGGTAGCACTTCCACCAAAGCAGGAAGGTCCACCATGATCCCCATCTACAACAAGCCATGGAGAATAACTGCCTCTTTGGGTTCAAAGGGTGCAGGCAATTTAGAGTAACCTGAGAGGCTCAGGAGAAAAAGTAAGGTGATACTGAAGACCTGAGAAAGCAGTTGAGAGTTGGTACCAGACTTTGTTTGGTTTGGCCACTGCTACTTACTGAGTGCTTCCACAGGGCTTGACAGGGCATGGACAGGAAATCCTGGCTCCCAATGTGACTGAACGAATAATGATGTCTTTGCAGGCAGGGATATCTCACTAGATTGTCAAGCTAGAGTCTGAAATACAAATGGTCAGAGTTTCTTTGATGTGGCAAATATGGGAAGTGACTGCTCAATTCCCATGAAAGGTAGTGCCAGGAAATAAACCTCAGCTTTTATGTGGCTATTTACATCCAGAGCCTGCCATGTGCCAAACACTGTGCAAGACATTCCCTTTGCACATCTCATCATATCTTCACTACTGGTAACCCAGCAAGGCTAGATAGCATAATTCTTATTTGCCAGATAGGAAACTTAGGTTCAGGCAGGTAACCTAATTTCCCTCAGATAACACAGCTAATAAATGTCATACATAGGCAGTGTGACTGACACCAAAAATCTATGTTCATTCCTCTTCAACAGGTACCTTACCCCAAAAAGGTAGGTCTATGAGGCAAAGATAATACAACTTTGAATAAAACTAATAATAATAGCACTGGATAAAGAGGGAATTTGGAAGATAATTGAGGTTTAGGAAAAACCTTTGGGCTGAGCTCTGGGTTTCTAGGTAGAAGGCGCTGGATGAAAAATTGTAGAGGATCTGAAAAGTATTTTCACATTCAGTTTGGAGCGAGAATGAGAAGGCAAGGACATTTTTACAAATGGTACATATGACTCTGTCTAAGAGGAAGAAAAGTTACTTGGGTGCAGCCTTTAGGGTAAAATTGCCCAGGATGGAGAGTCTACTCCTGACATGTGGAAACTATGGCAACCAGCACTGATGTGCCCCAGAGATAAGCCAACCTCAGCCTCTGCCAGCAGATGTGGGTGGAAAAGGTAGAGCCATTATAATCTAAGAGCATTGTGACAAGCCTGCTCTCTCTCTGCCTGACCCTGGGAGAGGGTTGCTGCAGCAGGAGCTTCCACATTCATAGTCCCTGCAAGGGCCAGTGCTTTCAAGAAGATGCTTTCTCTGTTGGAAGAGGCAGGAAGAATGAACAGGTTCACCCAGTAGAATAGACAAAAAGACCTCCCATCCTTCCAAGCAGGCAAGAGCCAGAACAAACAGCAAACATGCTAAACTGGTTTTTAATATGGTTTGGGAGGGGAGTAGAGAAAGAGAGAAGCACAGTGTTTCTAGATCATGGCTTACAGGTCCCTGAGTTCTCTCTTCATCTCTGCATGCCTGCAGCAGTTCAGCAG